ATCCCATGTGTGCAGAGTGGGACTGCCCCATCGGAGTTTCAAAGCTGTGACCTTTCAGAAGATGTCCAAGTCTGACTTCCGAGGTACCTCTATCTGGGTTCAAACTGCCAAACATTCCGTTAGTAGAGTGCTGACTGTTTGTGCCATAGGGTCTCCTGTGAAGAGAAAATAATACAGTAACAGTAGTCTTGATGATCCTCAACTACTTTGTAGGTACAGAGTTAAGAAACTTTACATGTACTATTTCAATTAACCATCAGGGCAATCCTGTAAAATAGGTACTCTTATATCACTGACTTACAGATGAGGAAGTAGACCCACACAAATTAGATAATTTGCCCAAGCTTATGCTGTTCGTTAGTGGTGGCACCAGGACTAGAACCTATGATTCTCATGCCCATACTCTTAACCATTTTCTTATAGTTGATGTAAAGTAACTGGTTTGTGGTAAGTGCTCATTGGAAATGAGCTGTTTCTGCCGCATTTTTTCATCTTAAAAGGCACAGACCAAGACTGGAAGGGAAGGACATTTTAGGAATATAATATAATATAGTCCTATCAATATATTCTTGATTACAATTGCTCTATTTTATTTTTAACCTTGTTCACTTTAACTAAAACATTGCAAATGAGAGGGCTTGTGGAGTAGTGGTTACATGTTGTACAACTAATTGCAAGGTCAGCAGTTTGAAACTATCCGCTGCTCCTCAGGAGAAAGACAGGGCTTTCTACTCCTGTGAAGATTTAGTCTCAGAATCTCACCGGGGCAGTTCTACTCTGCCCTAATGGGTTGCTATGAATTGGGATGGACTTGAAGGCAGTGAGCTGCTTGTTTGTTTTTTGGGTTTTTTTAAGAGGTAATTGACCAGGATAGAAGTTCTCCAGGAAGAAAACCTTCAGAGTAATTTTGAAAGAGAAATTAATAGAGAAACCACTGGGTTGGAAGTTCATCCTTGCAACTCATTCACTCTTCACTCTGATGCCATTGACACACCTTTATTAAGTCATTTGGCCACTATTCACTAACCTCAACCTGTGCTATGAATTGGAGGTAGAGAGGTGAATGAGGCAAGCATGTACCACTGTAAGTATGAGCAGAAATAGAAGAAGCACATTCAAAACACTAGCCAAGTCCAGAAAAGGTAGAATAATGATGGGGACTGCAGAAGACTTCAATGATTGATATTTCACCAAGTAAAGGAAACAAAGAAGGGCATTTCAACAAACCAAACCAAGCTCGCTGCTATTGAGTCAATTCTGACTCATGGCTAAAGGATTAATCTAATAATGGTAGTAATAATGGATATTTACTGCTACAGTGTTACCGTGTTTCCCTGAAAGTAAGACATCCCCTGAAAATAAGACCTACTTACAGTTTTGCCTCT